AGGAACGAATGAGCTATTGTCCTCTCCGGGGAGTAACGCGTTCACCACCACACCATGCGGGTCCTTCGTTTCTCCTGTCTCTCAGGTAGTTCTATCGATCTTTTGCCATCAGCAATCATCCGTTAGCGGGATTGATTTGGGTATCCCAAATCGCAACGAACCGAGTTAAGCTGAGGCTGCAGTTATAGTCACAATTTTAACTTATTATTTATTGCCTACTCTTTTTAACGAGAGGGTATATTGCGAAATATAACTTCAATGATGCTGAGATAATCGCAAAACTCCGGACCACAGGTGTCTGCGGTGGGAACCCCACAATGAGTTAAGAGAAGAGATAGGATGCGTTATGTCTCTAACATAAACATTGCTGTGAGAGTGGAAATGGTTGATTAAAACACGCTCAGTTAAGCAACCTTGTAAAGCTCGTTGCTATCCTGCTTAACGTTTCATGTAAACAACTCTCTGTCTATCCTTCTCCTTTTAAACGATATCTTAAAGTGCTCAACGCATCGCTTTTGACGTAAAATGTGGCCAACAGCCTTAGGCATTTCCATGAGCGGCCACATAAAGAAGAAACTGATATAAATTGCTCAATTTTTTCTGTTCACGACTCGACATCACACGTGCTGATACCTATAGTTATTGTGCTTGGCTCCTTTCCTCACATCCTTCATCTACGAAAATCTTCAGATTTGCGGACTTGTTCTACCGGTCGAGGACTTTTCGCCTTCTTCATGAGTGTTATTTATTTCGCCTTCTTCATGATTGAATGTGAATAATCCGCTCTCCCTCGAATCCTGGATTGGCTTTGATAAAGCGTTCCCAGATCTTTATCAGAAATAGTCGCCATGCTTTGTGGACTCGAAGGAACGAGTGGATCTCAGGCAAGCCTGGAACGAATTTCCCGACTTTGGGGTGGTGGAAGCCTCTATGAGCCGTGGGCGGAGTCGAATCAACGTCTTGCTCGTACTGAACGTTGTCACTATCACAACCTACCCGCGCCCATTGATCGCGTTTTCACATAGTGTACTGTTAATTTCGGTAGTCGACTATATATTTGGATGGTTGGGTAGGCCATCCACACATTGTTAATGACTGGTCGCAGCTATTTCTCATTCGTTTCGTTGCTTTAAGTCGTTATCATTTGCTTCCTTGTTGTACCTCTACAGTACTTCGCTAGTTTTTCTGCGTTTTCATGGTAGTCTTGCTAAGGTGTTCTTAAGTTTTCATCACAGCCAGTCTATGGGCTTTGTGTATTGAAGAGCGGTTTGTTGATTTGCGATAAGGATTCCACCAAGATGACGGCAAGTTCTGCTATTAGACAAGCAAACGATGGAGAAATTTTTGCGAGAGTAGTTAGCTTAGGTTCACATTTTGTTGCTTTCGGGCAGGGCCCTTGGTTTTTGCTTTCTTTTATGGATGCTTTACAATTTTCCTCCTTATGTATGCAGTAAATAAGCATAGCGCCGGATTAACAAATGCCTAGGTTACATAAGACTTAAAATTAACTTCTTTAACCGATGGTGAGTGGCGGATGCAAATGTTCTACCATAAAAGAGGAGCAAAAGAAGGAAAAGATCTACAAAATCGTAACAAGACAATTTGTCAAGGCCAATTCATACGAATGAAAAGTTCGACACTGACCAATGCTCCTAGTGTCGAAACATGCGTTCCAGCCCATTGTAACGTCATAAAGGTGAGTGAATGCATATCTGGGCTACTCAGTGACTGCTGCGAGCCTTCCGATCTATCACTCACCTGGTACTAATTTCCCTAAATAAAGCTTTCTTATGGCTTTTAGGCGCTTATTAGTAATTAATTCTCTCTGGTGAAAACATTTAACCCATTGCTTCGTTTTCATAAAATGGTTGACAATTTTGTAGCATAGAAGTTCCCATTATGGAATGACGAGTTCAGCAGCTTTCTATAATATCTCTTGCCATTTTTCAGTTTTTTTATAGGTCGAAACTCACCAACAAGCATGAATACCATTGTCCAAAACGAAGAAAACCTTTCTTATTAAAAAAAAATAGTACTACAAAGGACAGAACAAAGGTGAAAAAACTGCCTCCGTTGCTACTCCTAGAAGTTACCTCCTCCGCGCTGAGACTATAGTATGCCGCGATTCGACGCACAACTATACATTGCAATTCTGTTACCCGTGAATTTTTCGGAGTGTTCCTCTAATGTGAACAGAACTTTCAGCGTTTCTCGACCGTGTTAAGCCGGTCCTCATACGGCATGTTTGTTTGAGTTCTCGTCGCCGCACCGACCACCATTCATAGCAAGCGGCGAACAACCGCATCCGACGCATAATTCATGTTCCGATTTCGTCACAGAACAGAGAACAAGTTGTTCTTCTGGCACTCTTGTTGAATTTGTGTCGTGACAAGTATTTGGCTAGATATTGTGTCGTTCTAAACGCCTTAGTAGTTGTTTTGTTCACGTTTGCTGTGGTGCATGTGGCTCTTCCTCATCGGTTAATGGGGTCGTCATAGCCAGATCAACGAAAATTGCAGCGCAACAAAATTCCAATCCCTAATCGTCTCTTCCATAAGGTCAACTTAACAACATACAAAGTCCTCAGCGAGCCGTCTTGGAGCAAGCCGAGGAAACAAATCTTGTCCAAACAACAACAAAAGCCCAGTCAGCTGGAATTTGCTTTCGGACTTACACAATTTTTTGTGGAGAGGGACCATCATAGTATTGATGAAAATGAGTGGAAATTTTGGATTAGGAAGTGAATGTGCAAATAAATGGAATTAAATGAGACCTTCACTTACAGCGATTTCTCTATCATGCCAGTAAATAGAAGCATGGACAAGTCTTGTGTTGCCACTTTCCTATGGAATCAGCGGTTCAAATTTGTATTAGATCTCTACCACTTTTGTTTATTATGTGGCAATGGTATAATTGTAGTGATATTTGTTAAGCTTACATGTTGTAGTTTTCTAGAATATCGTTTTTCTCATGAGACGGGATAAATTTCGCAGGGGCAACTTTTCATGTCGGTAAAGAGTTTTTCACAGCTTTTTAGACGTGGTTTTTTGACCAGACTAACAGTTAATAGTTAAACAATCTATTTTTCGAGGTATCTATATTTTAACAAATATTTTTACTTATGCCTTTTACATCCTGTCCCATTGTCAAAGTCTGAAATGTCCAAACTTGAGGGAGGGAAGTACCGTCTCCAACGGTTTTTTAAGCCATAGGAGCCTTTGAGACAAAATAGTTACACCAACAATTTGATGAATTTTAATGGTTCTGTCACCACTCTTACATTACTACCACGTTCTAGCAACATGCATGTGACCCGATTCATAATCGGCATATCTCATAGAGTTCGACGACCTTTCAGTTTATTAATAAACAAAGAATTTCGTTCATAAGGCAGTCAATGAGAAGCAGTCGTTCTCCTTTCTATTCTGAAACTTATCGTACTTACGTTGTTAAATATTTCTAAGTTCTTTAATGTTGAGATATCTGTTTTGTGTTTTTGGAGCGTCGTTACTAATAAGTGTATCGATTGCTATGCTGATCATGCTGGCACAATTTTCCTTATGCCCTTGATGCTCTTCTTAAAACATGGTAATTTACTCAAATAATTGATGAAGCAAAGCAATATTATTGTTCCATTCCACTCGATTTCTACAGTACGCCACAAGATTGTTAATCTGTTTTTAAATGTGTTCTGTCGCCTTAACAGAACGCTCCAAATTCTTTTTTTTTACGTGACGGAACATGAGTGGTTAGCCGAGCCGAATTTCGAAAGCAATCGCTACTTTTTTTGTATTAGGCGATGCACATCGTCTTAGCTGAGAGCGAGAGTGTGTGGAATGTTTGCGAAGAGAACGTCGCACTCACCACAACAGAATCATTAGCTTGTCGTCGTCGTTGTCGTCGACGTCGCAGTACAGACCCCGCTGACCTCCGATCCCACGTTTTTGCCTTCATTCTCGAACTTAAACGACTTAGCCTTCAGAAGAAAGATCACATTTTCAGCCTTGAGTTCTACCTTCGAATAGCATGAAAACGCACGCAAACGCGACCCACTCGGAATTTTTTGAGCTTTTAAAACCGACTTGTTTTTCCGAACTGAAACATCTTCTAAGAAGCCATCTGCTTTCCCTTATTTTAACTACGTTTTGATAATGCGCATGGCCTTTTATACCTCGTTTTCCAGACCGTATTCCTTTTTGTCATCTTTTTTCTCCTCTTATTTCATCTGATTTTCTGAAATTCGTCATTTTTCATTCTTTTGTGATCTTTTTTGTTTTTTTTTGACACTGTTCGGAACATGCTATTTGCTTGTAGGAAATTTGGTTACGAAGTATGAAATATGTCTGATTATGAACTTATGAATATCAAAGAGATCTCATAAGGGGCAGAATCATGTCCTTCGTTATAAACGCTAGTATGTTACTAGACTTGGCTCAATATTTTATTTCCTTATATTTTCTATCCACACAACCCGATACTGCATACGGTGCAATCTCAGTACTTCTCTAACTCAATTCTTCTTCTCGCATCAGTTATTCACCACTGTTTTCCGATTTATATATGGGTGAGTTCGGTTACTGCTTGATAAGGACCTTCCCAGGTGTTCATCACGGGTATTCGCGCGCTATCACTTTGCCAGCCCTGGAGAGATAGAAGGCATGGTTGGTTTAGTACGTAGTCGAACCATTGACCGTGCGCATACAATTGAACGGCGCGAAAAAATCATCTGTGCTTCCCCATCTCTTGTTTCATCAAGTCACGAAAACATTTCGGTGCAAAGCTTTTCTTTATTACTTTTCTCTTTTATTAATCAATTGAGATCTCCGTTCTTCTAACGCATCTCGGAGAATCGCTCTTTTTCTTCCACTATCTGAAAATGTAGCAGTTCTACTGTTTCACGATTCTTATGCGTTTGTCCATTTTATTAGATTTAGAACGTCGTGGAACACCTGCAATTTGCTCTCAAGTATGTCTTTCGACGATGCGACTAATTCAGGTTTTCATGCTGCCGCTTCCTTTCGCATCGAAGCGGCCATTAGGCTGCTACATCCTGCCATAACGCCGTCCACACGAACCTCGTAGGCGGTTCGATATTCAGCTAACCAAAGTGTTGATATGCAGGATTTCTTTACTTCCATTATCCATGATATTTTGATGTTCTCCTGACCGCCATGCTCAGTCTGCAGCGAACTCTCCATTTATTATGAATAGAAGATTTGACAAATCCACTTTTTTCGTATTATTAAAAATACGAAGATAATTTGAGCAAAACGTCACAAAGTGCTTTAAAAATGTCTGCCGTGTTGAAAGCTATTTTAGTATTACAACAGTTTCTTTGCTCCGCCTCGTTTTTGGCTCTTAATCTTATTTCGAGCCATGATGGATTTATTTTTTTAATGATTTAAATACAAAGACAAACAACTAATCGCGTGGCTCAGGTAATTCGCTGTACTACAGCTAAATAACAATGCAAAATTATCTGATTATAATCAAGCTCAGCAGAAATTCGATATTCGGTCCATGAGCTTTTTGTGAATGTGTAGTTAGTCAACAAGGATGTCTAATTCAAACCCCATTTCAATCCCATTTACAATTGTTGTTTCAAAGCTTCATTACTATGCATAATTAGTCCCTGCTAGTGCAAACCCATTCCAAGTGCTAAACGGACTCCTTTAGCCTCCTTGTATGGTCTGTTTTTCTGAGTTTACTTTTTTATAATATGAGAACATTTTTAAACTTTAAAAGTTCCAATGCCTTTGATTTTCCGCAATTCCTATGTTAAACACTATATGTGCCATTTAAAATCTAGGCAGCTTCGCCCACATCTCAGAATGCATGAGTTCGGATACGGTGTACGTAATCTCTTGTAAACCGAGTGCGGACGAATACGTTGTTTGGTGTAGCGGGTGGATCACTGTGTGTCCGCATAAAAAACACCTAGTCGGTAAGTTTAAATTGAAACCACACACTCCACTAGTCACGCATAGGATACAGAAGTATAAAGGGAAAGGTTTTGAAGTAAAAGTCACTATCCTCGCACAGGAATCCAAATCATTAGCACGTAAAGTTTTTGAAGCGCTTTGGATTAATTCCAATAATCCACAAATGAACCGCAAGGAGGAAAGCCTTATGATGGCTAGTGAACTCGCGCCATATCTCACGCTAATTTTTTAACCGGAGTCAGGCAAATTCCTGGCCCATGTGAGGCTTTGTGCTGCAGGTCTCCAGTAAATAACTCGAAGTCTTACAAAGAACAAGGCCGTCGGTGTTTAAAAAATGCTGTTTTGTGTGCGAATGGAAATTTATGTGCTAAATTTCGTCTGCTTTGGTTATGAAAGTGTTTGGCTGAGATGATTGCACGTCGATTTGATCTTCCATGTTCTGAAGAAGGCGAAGCCGCCGAAGTGTTATGACAAACTTGTGTTACTGAGAACTAGATGGTCCAATTTTGAAACTATCACCGTCTGGTAGGTTAGCAGTCGATACTGGTACTCACTCGATACATCGGTAGGCCACCGCGAGTCATTATAAAGGCCAGATATGCATTCATTGACCTCCGAACGATGCTTAGTGAAGTCGAATGCATGACGCATCCCTCAGGGATTGATCAACGCCGAGAGCTTTACCTTTTCTTTTATTTATCGCCGCGACCACTTTTTCGCAGTGTGCCAACATTGCTTCTTGATTTTCAGTTCCTCTCCATAGGTTTAAACGAAAACCACATTGGAATCCTGAAAAATCAACAAGCGCTTAGACTGGGGAAACCGGCATTTCATTGTGGCGCAATTCGCTTTCATAGGTGGCCGGTCCGTCCAGTACGACCTGAACTCGATCGCAACCTATTGGTGGGAGAGCGGTCTCCATTAAACTAAACTCTGACTTCCTTAGCTCATTTAGCGTTCACGAAAGGCATCTGGGAACTTTGTACTTGAATTTAAAACTGACTCGATACTGCTTATTTCTTATCCATAAAATCATAACGGATCGATATTTGTGCCTACTGTTCTTCTTACTGTAGCCGGGATTCCGTGATCGTGTAACTTAAAAGCATGGAATGATCGCGTTATTGATTCAACATTCATTCATTCGAAGTATAGCTTACTTCTAGAGCTGCTCCCTATAGAGAAGCTCTGAAGGAGACGAAATCCGCCAACATGTTAGCTATTGTAGATACATAGTAAATAATGCTAAGCTCATGTGTGCTTATCATGAAAAATACTAATTATTTATCAGTGCCGACATTAATAGAAAGTCAACCTTGGAGATTCCAGAGCTGGACAATACATTCATCACTATTCCGTCATTTCCAACGAAGTCCATATTCACAGGAAAGTTATAAAAATAGCTTCCTCATACTTTTCCTGTTTTTTTTGCTCTGGCTTTCACCTTAATGCGTCTTTCTAGTGAGCAAGCAGGCCCTAACGTAATATTGCCTGCCGAGTACAAAAAGGCACTTTTTTCATTATTTTCTTACAAACTTGAAACTTTGCTGTTCTTTGTTAGGTTGTAACATATGTAATGTCCGATTTGAAATGTGAAGTTTTTTTCACACCAATTATTATTAGTCGAAATAAGCACCATTAGAATGAGCAGATTGTTCTTCAACAAGAAACACGTTGTTTGATTCCATCAATGCAAAAGTTGTCGGTTCTAGTGTCGATGACTCCTCCAAAAATATTTTCAACGGTTGTTTGGTCGTTGAAAACTTTTCCGTCGGAAAGTGGTCCAGATGGTTAAAAATTTGAAAATCCGTTGGCGACGAATCTGGCGAGTAAGGCGGACGTGGTAGAGTTTCGTAGTGGATTTCATCCAGCTTCCTTAATGTCATTTGGGAAACGTGCGGTCCTGCGTTGTCACGGAGCAAAATTGGTGCTTTTCTGCTGACCAATGCCGGTTGCTTGACGCGTAGTTTTTGATGCTTTTCTTCGATTTCAGCACGGTGTATCTCTGACGTACTGTCTTTTTTGGATGTAGACTCGGTTTAGGCATGTGTCGTGGGTTCTCATTGGAGTCTAGCCATTTTGCACAACGGCGACGATTATCGTACAGTATCCTGTTTTCATCACAAATCATAATACGATTCAGGAATGGATCTCTATCGTTGCGAATCAGTAAAGAATTGCAAATTTCCGGACGTTGAGTTTTTCGCTTATCGTTGAGTTCGTGTGGAACCCATTTGTCCATTTTTTTAAACTTTACCATTCAACTGTAAGTGGCGTGAAATGCTCATGGCAGTGACTCCAAATTCTGTTGCGAGTTCTCGGACCGTTTGACGTGGATTTGATTCGACTATGGTACGAAGTGCCTCATCGTTAACGCTAATTTCTGGCTTACCACGCTCATCGTTTGCAAGGTTCTCGTCTCCGGATTCAAACTTTGTGTACCAACAACGAATGGTGCGTTCTTTAGCAAAGTCGTCTCCAAAGGCGGCATTGAAATTCCGAGCTACCTCGGCATTATGTCCACTCTTCCACAAGAGCACCTTTGTGCTTTAAAGATATATGTTAAGCATACATTAAGCGCAAAATTTTTACTTAAAAATACGCGAAAAGCTACGACAATAAAATCGGACATTTCATATGTTACAACCTATCATTTGATTTTACTTAGCTAGTATCTACTCTCTAATAAGTACAACGATATCACTTCACAAAGTGTAGTCGCATCTCATCTCATTTCACAGTAGTTGTATGGTTTCGTCAATCCAAATCAAAACTCGGTCGGAATACTCCTTTTTCTGAAGGCAACAGCCGGTTTGGATTGATTTGACTCGCTTACGCCTCGCTACAATTGTAACATTATTAACTGGCGTTCATTACTAAGCACAAACTACGGTGGTGACGTATTCAGGAGAAAAAGTGCTGTTTCAAAATGTTTGGAATGCAGTCAGTACATGAATGTCTGTGGTAGTTGGCTGAGAACTAGCTGAGAGATAGGCGAAACGAAGGACCCGCATGGTGTGGTGGTGAGCGCGTTACTCCCCGGAAAGGACAATAACGCGTTCGTTCCTCACGGCAGACACCTGCGGCTCAGAGTTTTGCAAATATCTCAGCATCATCCGTGGTAGTCACAAACATGTGCAAGAAGAAAACACAGTGCCTAATTTGAACAGATTTTACGAATGATCCCGTGTCCAATTCCAATGTGTACTAGACGTCCTAAAACTGAGGGCGTGTAGCTCAGTGCCACTGGATTCTCTGCAATATACAAGTGGTTCTCAATTTGATCACCCACCACATGCTAACCTAGTCTTCTATCCCTCCTTTGTCGGCAAATTTTTTACCGGACTTGGTTTAGACGTCGAGAAGAGGAACACTGATTTGATAGTCACGGTACTGGCCAAATATGAACTCAATCAGCTCTACGATGGCACGATTAGAGTCAAATGCATGGCGTATCCTATTGATCTAAACCGGGTGCGTTATCCTTTGGTCGTTCTTTAGACTATATTAACCAATTTGCACGCAAATTTCTGCTCTAAAATTGCATCTCTACTAGTTTCTTTTACTAACTTAATGACTTTCATATATGGTTGTAAACTAGTCATTTGTAATGCAAGACGTTTGTGTGAAAAGTCTAATTATCGTATTTAAAAACCGACTTTCCTTCAACCTCGATATAACTAATCGATACGTATTCTTTCCTTGATAAACTTACACTAGGTTGACAAATAATGTTTATTTTCTGCTTAGGTTTTGACGGTTTCTTCTTTATCAGATCCGATGATCCGAGTCAATGATCCACAGTTGTTTGTGTTCTCAAGGTGGCGTCATGCATCTAATCATTGTGTTGTATCCAGTTCAAATCCATTACAAACAGCTTTTAGGCGGAACCAATTTCAAATCCTCTCTCGGAGGTGGTGGATAACTCTTGTTCTTGAATGTTAAGGACTTTCGCTGTTGAAACGTCATATCAGAGATCTTTCCTGTTTTGTCCTATCATCACAGTCATCACAATAATTGTTGTCTTGAATGATCACCTTGAAGAACACTTTTGCTTTCTGGTATCACTTTGTTTACCTTACTCTGCCAATACGTCTTCATTTCCACGAAAATTCGGCGTTAACTAATGGCCACAAACGTACAACATAATCATTTTCCGGGATCAACTTTCTATTAACCTCGGAATTGGATTATAACGTCGTTTTCTTTCTCAGGCGGAGTTGTTAAAGAGCGAACGTTTACTTCCATATAACAACACTCATACAGTGCAACCGTAGCTGACGTTACGGCAGAATAGCTTTCTTCAGAGCCGCTTTTTTCGCCTGTCTTCCACCGAAGAAGAACAGCCGCTCAGAGTCGCATATGGTTGACGGCTCCAACCATATCGTCGTCAACCATAAGCATTTTATTATTGGCCTTCTACCGCAACCATCTTGGCATCGTTCATAATTTCCAGCTTAATGTTTTCGTTCCCTTACTGGACATCTTACGTCGTTGAAAGTGATGAATTAAGGGTTTGGCCGGGCTGACGGACATCGTTTACAGTGTGGAAATTATTGTCTCGTACTCCGTGGTGGGGAAGAACGATCGCGGCAGCTGCGACCTACTATAAAAAAGCTACAATAATAATGTGGTTGAGACGGCGACGAGTTGTTTCTGCTAGCCGCACGAGCCGCCAAAGAAATTGCGTCGTGTCGCACACCGTTAAGCTCTTCGTCATCTGCTAGTCGTCCACTGAAAAGTTCGTATCAAAAATAGCGGCCTCATCTCTATCCCTCACAACCCCGCAATGATCATTGTATAACAAACGTTTCGGTTGTGACATGTATATATATACATATGTACATATATATACATATGCATTTACATTTATACGTATACATACATCTATATATACATATGTATATATATATATATATATATATGTATATAATGTTACGTCCCAACTGCCTAAGGCTGTGGAAAGCAACTTTTTATTCCAAGTTTAACATTTCTGGATTCACCTCCCTATTTTTCACCGTCTCTTTTACAGCAAACCGCATTTTCTTCGTCAAATTCCTCAAATGGTAACTGAGCTGATATCATTCATCTTCCATTACATCAACCGGTGCTTAGTTCTGCGGTTTTGCAACAGCAACCTTTTTTCGGCAGCGCCTTCAAACAGGAAACGTTTGTAGCAGATGATTGATGAGATTCTGAATCCATTTGATTCTTAAGAAAGCCTAGGAACTCAGGATAAAGTTCACTTCGACATGCTGCAGCCTTTTAAAGAGATTTAACTCTGCAGTTCCTAGCATTTTGGAAATGTACTCTGTTGACTCACTACTGTTGATTGTTTAGAACGGAACTTTTCTTAACTTTCCAACTCTCTCTGCTTAGGCATAGGATTTCTGGAAAGACGACGAAAAAATTCGAAGTAATATTAGCTGATTTCTCTCAATGAACTTGGCTATAGGTGTTAGCTTGTCGCCTCACAACTGAGTTCTCTATGGCTTATTGGCGACTCCTGGCATATGTTTGCAGCTAGACGGGTTTTGGATGTAGATGTCGAATTCTTTTTCTTGGCTGCTTTGTTGGCTTTGAGTTCTCTGCTGTTGATAAAATTAAATAAAGGATAAAGCTCTCGGCGTTGATCAATTGCTGAGAGATGCGCAATGCATTCGAATTCACTAAGAATCGTTTGGAGGTGATTGAAAGCATATATAGCTTTGGAAATGACTCGCGGTGGCCTACCGATGACCTCATTGGAAGACTTGGTGGGCCATGGGCGCTGGGATCGACTCCACGTGTTTGTTACAGGGCCCCTCCGACCACTGCGCCACACGCGCCTTTTTTCTTTATGCTGGAATGAGCTTTTGTTGATAGTGGTTGGAAACCCTCGGGTATTCTCTCTATGCAATATGAGTATGGAAGAACATGATG